TGGCCTATATCAACCAATTAGGAGCTACTCGTAAGTGCTACAGAATATTTGTCCTTATGACAATATTCTGAGAATATAACTCTTATATGTATATTCTATTAACAATTTCTTATAAATTGTTATGTAACGATTCACCCCGTTACATAAACCGAGCCATTTTCGCAAGTACTTTTGGTTTAACGGAATTTGCCAGTCAACAATTGACTTTATATCAGTGGCATCCGCCTGCCGGCCGCGGCTCCCAAAGAAGTAACCTAGGGAGGGCATTTCTTCAGCACAAAGATGCATTCGGATGCAATTACATACAACTTATTGGTGCGCAAGCACCCGAGCACTGCTCGTAAATGGTCGATGTTACTCTCCATATCTGACCTTCCTTGTTCCGCACGGCTAAGGACAAAATGTCGTCAAAAATAGCTTTGTGCATATCCTCGGTGAGGTCGGAACAATTGCGTCACAAGACGATTAAATGTATTCGGGGCATTAGACAGCCCTTGAGGCATGGCAAGCCACTTTTAAAGCATACCGCTTAGCGTACTTACCGCTTTGAGCTGAATGTCACTCGCTCGTGTGAAAACTTGATAATGCCCATCGACCAAATTGAGTCCACTGTACAATGTACTCCCTACCATATTGTTCTAAAGAACATCCTTTTTAAAAAATAGGCGTCTTTGCCGGTATAGTGGCTGCGTTAAGCTTTTTATAAGCATGCAAAATGCGCCACTTTTCATTCGGCTTCCTGACACAAAAAGGCAGTGTCGAGTGCGGAGACTGGCTCTCACGCACCATGCCAGCAGCGTGCTTTGCACGAAAGAACTCGTCAATGACGTCACACTGTTCCTTAGGCAATGGCCACTGCCGTGTTACGCAGTATTTGGTTCCAGGAACTAGGTCAATTTCATGACGAACGCCTCGATCAGGGGGCAGAGTGGAGGGTGGATCATGACACACCATATCCTATAACTCCTTAACCAAAGGATTAAACGGGTCGTTAGGATCTTTCAAGATCGATGATCCTCTTCAAGCACTCAATGCCGCCTTTATGCCTTCCAAGACGGCCTTGTAAAAAAGAGACGACGAATTCAGCACACTATCGGATCTAATGACCACCACTTCGGATAATTCACCCGGCTTCAAAGTCATACCAAACTCATCTACAGACACTTTGTCCAGCTCTAACCAAGAATTCAGTGAGGGTAGAGTCTCATGACTCGCTGACTACGTCTCTATTCAATTCATAAACGAGTGTATTTAGCTTCTTGCAAGTATCACTCAGTGACGTCACAGACGCTTTGCGTTGCAGAACAGCACTGTGGAGTCGCTGTCGTCTCTGAGACGAGACTGAATGTCTTAAAGAGACTGGAGCTTACTCGTTCCCTAGGTTGATTGCATCATCATCCTTAACTTGCTCTGTACAAATGACAATGTCATTACCGACACCCGGGACATTAATGTCCCCAAGATTGACATGACCGTCAACCTTAAGTTGCTCAATACAGAGCCGATGTCATTACTGACAAATGGGACTACTCCGCCCCCAAGAAGAAGGAGTGTGTCAACCTTAATTTGCCCGATATCAGGACCGATGTCATTGCCTACATCTGAGACTACCCTTTCCCTAAGGTGACGAAAGGCTTAAACCTTCATATACTTGAAAACAGGATCGATGTCATTGCTGACATCTGCGACTACACTGTCTTAAAGGTGACGAACTGTGTCAACTTAAATCTGATCTATGTTCAATCCAATTTCATTACCGACATCTGTTGATGAGTCACTTCCAGTGAGATTACCACCCAGTGGGTGCTTACGTGCCACTCCACGCTCATGAAATGGGCGTTGCCCCTGATGACTTGGTTTTTCTTAAACAATGTATCGATTGATATTATGTGTGTCGCAATCACGGCCAACATCACTCAGTGGGTACTTACGTGCCACTCCACGCTGATCAGATGAGTTCAACCTATGATGACTTGGCTCTGGACCAATAATGCATTCAGCATTCAGTGATTCGTTATCACAACGATAACCAATCGACAGAGTACGTGCCGTCTCACTAAAGGTCAACGAGCTTGGCTCGCAAATTACGTTTTTAACATTGTCTAACTCAAAGATTTCAGCCATGCCGATGTCCAGCACACTAAATGTCTCAGTCCGTGGCTCGCGCCAATAGCATTTCTGTATTCTGGCAGGAGTGGGCTGATGACTCTCCAAAGCTAAGCTAGAAACAGTGCGCGTTGCGCCCTAGGTATTTGACCTCCAATCAATCCACGGCTCATGGCGTTCTAGCCAAACCATGCCAAGGATGATATCATATATCATATACACGTCAAGGAATGGACAGCGTTCAATACTGTCACAGTCCGAAAACTTCACGCTTAAGTTCACAGGAACTTTTAGGCACATTGACCAATGCACACGTCGCCAAGCGAGCAGTGGTAGTCTCATTATTTTGCGCCTAAAGGGCCTCATCATACTGCTAGCTACCTTCAGTGAACAACGCCGGACAAAATTTCTAGACTCTCCGGAGTTGATCGATATCGACCATGGCTGATCAAATACCTATACCATTGAGATTGCAATTAACGAGCCTGGCTCGTACTCATGCTTCTTGAAATTGCTCATAGAGCCACTTGAAGTTAGGCCCTGCTCTCCATTAACTAATAGAAGTACAACATAGCCTAGATATATTTCATAAGGGTGCTCCGCGCCTACTGGGACTCGACGTCTTCCCGCGCTTTACCGACTAGTTGGTTAGCGTAGGGAGGTCGAATTGAATGAGCGTGTCTGTTCCTTCTTAAAGGAAAATTGAGACGAAGATGTTTGATGCTCCCGCACGTCGAACATCTACGTATGTTCGAACGCTGTTCGACAGCAAAAACTCAGCTTCTTCGTCTTTCTCAGCAAGCTTGAGGTCCATGGGCTCTGCCCTATCCATGAGATGGGCGTTGCTCGACGATTTTAATTGGAACCCATGAGTCCTGTAGCGGGCAGCTTTAAAGTTGAACTCTGTGTTCAATGCTATGTACACTGCACCCTCAAATGTCGAGGGTAGGGCATGGAACACTTCTGTCATGTCAACGCCAGTGCGAAGAACCTCCATAACATGATTGATAATACCGTCTCAGGTAATGGGTCAAGCTGCATAGCAGCATGAGAGTTCGCAACTCCATAATTGACTGAATCCTTTATACCCTGGCGGGTTGACAGGAAGCGTAATCGCACGCTTAATGCCTGATTAGGCGTAGGAAACACCCGATAAAGCTGCTGTTTTAGCATGTCCCAGGTGGGAAAAGCCTCTTTTATCGAGGTTCCAGAAGTGAACTCCTACAATCTGGCTCGGTCACCTAACTTTGATAGGGCCAGGCCCACCTTCTGCTGTTCCGACAGCAGCAAGACCGAATTGATGGTAATTTTTATCTCTCGAACCCAAAAAGAAGGTTTGTTCCCTCTTTCCCTCGAAAGTCTTGACACTTAAGACTAGAGGACGAGTCATCGACTTATGGTCCGGTATTAAAACATATCAAGTGGGCGTGGCAGATATTAAATGGTCATGGACCTGTCTGATCAACGTGGATTCAAAGGTCAAAAAGGCCTCGAGACGTGCACGGAGTGCGTCATGGCCTTGCAACACTACCAGAGCCAATTGCTCGTGCCCGATCAATGCTGTGAGCTTTTCAAGCGTGACCTGCTGAGTCCTAGAAAGGTTCATGGCCGTTTCCATCCTTGCAGAGGATTCAATCTGTGAAGACTCAGGCGTAGATTGACTACAAGTGCTACCAAGTGTAGCGGATCTACTTAGCGCTCCTTAACAGAGGAAGTCTTATACTCAAAGAGTCTCTTAGTTACAATAAACTAATAACGACGCACCGTTGTTCAAGCGTACAAGCTTAACAAATTCGGTTCTAAAAGGATGACGATTCTCAAAATCACGCACTAACTAGAGACTGCTAGTTAGACAAGATTAAATGTATTCACAAGGCTAACACTCTTACAACACGCTATGCCTTGACTAGGCACTAGCGTCCAACGATCAAAAGGGAAACTGAACTTGATCTATTCTTTAAGTACGGTAAAAACCCAAAAAACTTGTCGGATTGACTTTAACATTGCGATCCTATGACAGCCGTCTTTTCCCTTATCCTTACTCGATAAGATGCGGTATTACCCTAAGTACGTGGTACCAAGACTGTACCACTCATATCCACGGATCTTTACTTGGTGTGGATGCACTACATAACCAGTTCGAATAACCGTGTGTAACCCCGTTACACACACTAAATGTTTCACATATAGCTTGTTTACAGGTCACATACAGGGAATCAAACCAAGGAAAGGAAGCTCTACAAACTCTGCACCTCTGAACTTTTATGTTAAGCATTTTACGAATAAAATATAGCTTTTACACTGATCAGTTGTTGGTGAAAACGTTCGACGCGTATGCAGTACAGATTAGCAAAGTTCAAAATACGAGTTAGCCTTGCTTGAATGCCTATCTCTTCTGTGAAAGGGAAAGAAAGATGGCAAACGTTTGTGTGGTTCATGGATTACCTCTCTCTGTGATAATATATAACTCCAGAGAGTCAAATGGGATAAATCATGTCTGTGGTACTCTTTTGTCTGCCTATCTGCCCCCGTCCCACTCTAAACGCGCACAAGTTATAAAAGAGGATTTATATTTGCCAAAAGCTCAGAAAGGGATTTTGATTGGCCAAATCTCTCTATTGGCCATCGATACCGGCTAGATAGTCTATCCCACCCGGCGGTTTAGCGTCTCCCCTCGCAATCGTACCTCCAGTCACTAAACCTGACTATGACATGTACTGGTCTTTCCAAGATGCTTCAGACAGCTAAAGATCTTCCCATCCATCGAAACAACATATGATGAAGGTATGTAGTTAATGATTTACAAACTGTAGCGCACGTATTGACGGAGAGATGGTTCGTAAGGAATGTAGTGCATCCCGTGACTTGTGCATGCGTCGAAAACAAGCGATTGTTTACCGCTTCTGGTGGTTCACAAAGCGCATCGCCAGCAGTGTGAGCACACGGAAAAAGACCAGGAAGGCCAGCACGATACCATTGTTCTGCCAGATTTCGCTGTGCTCCACCAGGAAAACACTCTCCAAGTAGTTCTTCACGGTCAGATCTGCCGGGAGCGACGGCGGCACGTTCGTCATGAATTGGCACCCAACGTCGCTGCCCACGCCGTCATTGGGACAGTCGCCAAACACGAGGCTGGATACGACTGCAAACGTGTACTTGTGCGGCGTAATGTGGTACAACCACTTGTAGCCCGTCGGCAGGTCTCCAGCAGGAGGAGTGAAGCCCATGAACAGCAGGAAGATCAACGCCATGAGGAAACCCAGAATCTGTGCGACTTCCACATTCGGCAGCAGGAACACCAGGAACTCGCCGATGTACCCCTGTAGCAGCACGTGTATCGACACAGCAAACCAGAACGTGAAGAATGCACTGGCCCCGGTGAAGCCGACCATCGGGTAGAACGGGATCATGAACAGCATCACGGCGAAGAACGTGTACGGGATCTCCACCATACTTGAGCTGAAGAAGTACCAGAACGCGTTGTACGTCTGCGCTGCGCGTTCACGGTAGAACACACCACGCTCCTTAGAGGCATTGGGCAAAGAGCTGTTGAACGAGCTGATGCCGAGGAACCCGACTGTCAGGTACAACATGCCCATTCCCGAGTTGATGCCGGTAAACGACGTGTACTCAGCATCGACGTAGGTGATGCCGAACACGAGGCCCAGCACCAGAGATACGAAGAACCGTGTCAAGTTGAACGATGCCGTGCGCCAGTACATGCGGAAGAAGCGCTGCATCACCATCTTCATCTGGACCAGCTCCGTCGCAGCGCGCTTGTCGGTGAATATCAGTTCCGGCAAGTCTGCCGAGGGTCGAGTCACACCATCACGGTCCAAGTTCGTCTGCAGCATCTCAAACTGCCTGCTCTCCTGGAAGACCTTCACGAAGTCCTTGGCACCGTTGCTGTTACCCACGCCCGCACCAATCACTTCCAACATCCACGTCGCCGGATTGTAGTTGTCCTCCAGCTTCTCCACGCCCTCAATGGACTCAAAGTACGTGATCATCTCACACGCGTTCTGACCCAGCTCACCCGCAAACACTGTTTCACCACCACGCTTTAGCAGCAGCAGGCTGTCGAACACACTGAAAACCTCCGTCGAAGGCTGATGGATCGTGCATACAACGGTGCGGCCCGTATTCGCCACCTTGCGCACGCCATCCATGATGAGCTTGGCGGAACGCGCATCCAGTCCGCTCGTAGGCTCGTCCAGGAAGAGAACACTGGGCTGGGCTGCCAGCTCCACACCGATCGTCAATCGCTTCATCTGTTCCACGGAGCTGCCGCGGACGATCTGGTCAGCAATCGGATGCAGATCAAGCAAGTCCAGACATTCGTCCACCGAATCGTACTTGTGGCTGTCAGGAACGTCGGCGCCCTGGCGGAGAAACGCACTGAACGTGAGCGCTTCGCGGAACGTTGTCGAATCACAGTGAATGTCCATTTGCTCGCAATACCCAGTCGAGCGTCGGATAGCAAGGTCGGTGGCAGGGACACCGTTCAGCAGGATATGACCGCCAATTGTTCCTCCAGTTTTGCGGCCGGCGATAACGTCCATGAGCGTCGTTTTGCCGGCACCTGACGATCCCATGAGTGCCGTGATGGTACCTGGCAGTGCGTACCCGTTGATACCTTTGAGCAGGTCGATCGTTCCTTTGGGGTTTGATGGGTCCGGCACGCTGTACCAGAGGTCCTTGAAGGCGAGGGTGACCGGAACGAAGAGCTTCTCGCTAGCAGGAGCCACAGAGAAAGCAGCATCACCACCGTTTGTTGAGCCTCGCGGCGTGGCCATCAGACCGTATCCGTCCTTGGTATCGCTCTTGTCCTCCGAGCTGGTCAATGTCACGTTCTCGGGACTTTCATATCGGTTGTACTCCAGTGCGACGTACGAGAGAAACATGAAGAAAAAGTACGCGCCACCGAGGTACGCAATGCCTAACCAGAGCCAAGACTCTTCGGACGGAACCTCGAATGTACCGAGCGAGTATTCGCCGACTGTCTGATTGAAGCTTTCGCAGAAGTTGATGTCGCCGTAAACACACGTGTCGAACGTGGAGTCTCTGTACTGGTTCACTGCCAGTGCGCGCACGCACCAAGCAATCGGGTTTATCCAGTACAGCCAGATGAGGTAGTCCGGAATTTGCTCTTTCGTGATGACAAAGCCTCCGAACAAGATGAAAAAGAGGATCGAGACACTCGAGATCGGGTTGGCCACGCTGAAATTCGGCGCAGCGGACGCCAAGAAGAAGAAGAACGCGGTGAACGCGAGGTTCGCCATGATCAGCAACAACGGGAACAGGAAGAACGACCCGACCGTGTCCACTAAGCCGCACATCCAGTACACGATGCAGCCGAACACGACACTCTCCAGAATAATCGGTAGTATCTGGCTCCCTGAGAACGAAAGCACGTAAGACGCCGTGCGGAAAAAGCTGGCACCGCGCTGCTTGTAGAACACCTCGCGCGCAGCCATGACTGTCGGAATCTGAGCGGACTGACCCAGCGATAAACACAGCACCGACGCGAAGATGACGCCGATGACCAATTGTGCGTTCGTCGGGTCAATCTGGTAGAAGACGCTGGCATACAACAACCCCATGACGGTGTTCATGAACAAGCGCCCGAACAGCGCCGCCGAGTCGCGCAATGTCAACCTGATCTGTCGTGTCATCAGCAAACGTGTGCTGTCCCAGAAGTTCTGGTGGAACTCCGGCTGAATGTCCATGAACACCTTCTTGTCCTGAACGAGGCCGGGGTGCACAGGATCTTCGAGGTCTGTCCGCATTCGGTCATAGATGGACGAGAGCCTGAACGCCGCGGCAAAGTCGCCGGCCGACCGCGGGATCGAAATGCCTCCGGCGTCTTCCACTTCGTACTGCGCCTGCTTGTCCGTGCCCAGATCCAGCAAGAAGTCTGCCACGTCACGACGGGGAGGACACTGGAAGCCCAAGCTTTCAAAGTAGCTTAACGCTTCAGCCCTCGGTCCGTGATATATCTCGTAGCCCTCGTTCAAGATCACGACGTCGTCAAAGAGCTCAAAGACCTCAGGCGACGGCTGCAGCAGAGAAATCACGATCATCTTGCGGAACTTCTTGGCGATGCTGCGCTGCGTCGTGATGATGTCGAACGTTGCGGCGCTGTCGAGTCCCGTGCTGATCTCGTCCATCATCATCACGTACTTGTTGCCGAACTCCATCTCGCCCGTCGTCACGCGCTTGCGCTCTCCGCCCGACACACCGCGGATCATGGCGTCGCCCACGATGGTGTTCTGACAGTTGTCGAGTCCGAGCTGCTGGATGACGATGTCCGGGTAGTGCTTGTACATGGCCCGAGCAGCGTCGAGCGCGGCCTTGTTCTCCTCCGGTGAGCCGTTGATCAGGTGCTGCTCGTCTCGCTTGGAGAGACCACCACCGCAACAGGCGTGTGCGAATTCGAGCGTCTCCTTCACGGTCAAGAGCGGGTAGTGCTTGTCTCGCTGAGCCACGTAAGACACAAACTGCGGCAGACATTTGCGCAAGTCCTTGGCTGGGGTGCCGTTATACCTCACCTCGCCCTTCCTCGTGATGTTCTTGGCGTCCGGGAAGCGGCCGCTGATCAACTTCATGAGCGACGACTTGCCTGATCCTGGCTGTCCGAGCACGAGCGTGATGGTGCCAGGCTTGAAGACGCCACTGACGTTCCTGAGGATCTCCTTCTTCACGACGTGCTTGCTGGACCTCATTTCACGGATACCCGTCGTGATCACGTTGATCAACGTGGGCAGCTCGACGGTGATGTTCGTCTCGTCTTTCACCATGATGTCGGCGGTGATAGAGACGTCTTTGAAGCGCACCTCCATCTGCGGAAGCGCTTTGCCCAGTGATTTCTCCATGCGGGACGCAACGTGGTCGTGCAGCGCTTGGGGTCCCTCTGCCAGGAGTGTCTTGGCATCGTCATAGTTGATAGCCGTGCCCTTAAACGAGTCGGACTCATCTACTAACGTCATGCCAGTATGCGAGACGTTTTTTCAATCGAAGATTTCAAATAACTTGCGGGAAATTGTTGACTGTGTTCGTTCACTTGAGACTGCAAATAGCAAAGTTACTGGATCTCAAGGCTACACAAATGGTGAAGCAACAAAATGGTTGCGAATCGTGAACGACACTCGGCTGATGCATCACGGGCGCGAAGTAACTACCCATGCAGCGAAACGTTCGTGGATGGCGTAATCGCAGTTATCCTTAATATCCGCGACATTTCTCTATTGCATTCGTTGATCGTAGCCGGTGAAAGAACTAAACAAAATAACGAGAAGAAGGTTGACATGTGCTGTCTCACTAAGGTGATGGCTGACGGCTTTGCCACGGCTTATCCTCAACAGCTCATTCCTGTGCAAACAAGTCGCATTCTTCACATCTGATGATGCTTGCTCAGGCGCCTATCTCAAATGTGTCAGGTGACTCGAAACACAGTGACGATTCCATTCCTACTTTTACGATGGTGGGCTGGTTTCTACAATATGACGGGCCGATGTTTTAGTAGGTGAGTCCGTTACTACCGTTGGTGGATAGGCAACGATTCGACTGATTAATATATCGACAAATTCGATCGGAACCTTGTTATGACGAGGTTTGTATTCCTTGCTCTTGGCAAAGGTAGTTCAGAGTCAGCTTCAAAACCAACTGCAAGAATGCACATCCCTGTGCTGACGGCGGCAGATGGCGGATGCTTGTAGTGGAAAAAATCAGTACATGTTAGAGGCGTCGCGCTACCTTCTCGATGCAACACGGTCTATTGATGATGTTACAAGTCGTGTTGGTAGTAGCCACTAGCTTGCTATGCCCCAGCTACGCGAAGAAATAGTACTAGTACTTTACCACGGGGCACGCTATTATATGAAATCAGCACCGCGTGCCCGGCGGCGAGTTCACCTACCAGAAAATGCTGATAAGGACGCACAAAACGATACAAAATGTTGATGCGATTGGCCGACTGCAATCGATCTCGGGCTTCTACAACACGCGTATATTATCGGTACCTATTAGAAGTGATCCCGTTAATTCTATAAATGCTGTATCTCGCTGACGTTGTCACTTTCTTAGTAAGAGGCAAGATCGTTCTTTGCATCAATGCAAGCTGAAAACCGAATCCAATGTAAGGCCTTGTACCGAACGGTGCCTAAGGTCTTTAGCATCCTTCTGGACGAAATCCGTGGGACATCGTGCCGATCGTGTTTGGCGTAACTGTCGTTTGCTAACTTAGTGAGACGGTACAAACTATATATGGGCTTGTGCTCGAGCCTTGCTTTGTTAAACGGCAGTATGGCTCGATAACGTCTGATTGTCTCTTGACTGGCTGCGGTCGCTGCACACACGGTGGTCCGGTAGGATTATAGGGAAAAAGTTTATTTGTGAATGCGTTCAATGTGATAGAGGGCAAGCCGAAAAGTGACTTTCGTATTACGCGGAAGGTGTCAATCTAGGTACTCGGCTAGCCAACATTATCGAATTGTACCATTGTAATAAGGACGTTGCACCAACACGTAAAGCTCGTGACCATGCCAAGCATGTGTCGAATGAGTGAGATAAAGTTAATGTGTGAACTAAGGTACGCTTGTGCTGTCTTCGATCGAGGTGAAAATGAGGCGTTGTCGTGCGCGACCGAGCAACTTGCTTGCTGTCGAATCCTGATGTATCTTGTTTTGCAGAGGTAAAGTGATGTGCTTTCCTTCACAGGTACACAAACTGGCCTCGGAATACCCATGCTCCACACCTTACCGGGCGAATAGGACTGACACTTGCTTTTTGATTCAGACATCTTTGACGTGCACATTGGGGCATTACTTTGAGCTGCCCGTACACTCAGTCAAGCAAGTGCAAGTGTACTTAAGCCGGGAGGTGCTAAACCGCCTCTAGTGAAAAACTAGCTAGCACCAGGTAAATAAGCAAGTATGTAAATCGTTGTGTGAATAATACCTTTCGAAAAGATTATTGTTAACGATTCACTTTGGATATTTTTGGACATGATAGAAGGGGAGTGTAGTAAGCAAACCAAATTTTCTTGCTGAAATTGCTTCTTCGCCAGTGTGTACATGCAGGGCCCGCAGCTTGAGATGCATTCACCAGTTAAAATAGAGAATCGCAGTCGTCTTGAGGATTGTCGATGGATGACTAAAATCAAGAAAATTTTCGATAGATATGGGTAAATATCTCGGTTTTGAGGAACGACGCTACAACATAATGCACGACCATCGATCCTGCTGCTTGCAATCGCACCTTCAATAGTAATATCATCTTGTTACCAATACTTTCGGCTCCGCTGAGGCTTTGTTGTTTCCTTCTTCTCTGCAAATTGACATTGAGCTTTATTGGAACGGGGTTACAAACGGCTGTGTTACCCAAGGTGCACTGGTGTTATAATGACGTAAAGAGATCGGTTTCACTGATAGGTGTACTATTGTATCACATACGCTGAGCGGCAATTCCGTACCTTATCGATTCCGGATAGATGGTGTTTATCGTTATAGAGTATTCAAAGGGACGGCTTAATTCCGGTGTGATAAACTAGCAGAATCTCATGAGGAATACACTTATCCCTCTCTATCGAAGACTTTATCTAAGAGACACCCTCTATATAAGAGTCACAGTGTCGCCTTACATTTCAAAATGTATTGGGATTTGTATGCCGTTCTCTTGGCAAGCGAGTGAGACATAAGAAACGAAAAACACTCGCCCATTTGACCCCCCCTTTCTATGAGTAACTACCCCTACTTCTGCTTCTTATAAGATAAAAGTGGCACGTGATTTGACATTTGTTCCAGCCAAAGGTTTAATATGACCTTGGCCCTGTTCAGCAGCGTCATAGGACCTCGGACGTTTTTAAATGGAATGATGTAAAGCATGTTATAATAGGCGGGCTCGTGACGCAATATTTACTAAGTTGTCAGGATGACAAATGCATCAGACAATTATTGATAATTTAATAGATTTATAGATAGGGAGTAGTACTTGTTAGTTTCCATAACAATGCCACTACGCCACTGATCCACACGTTGATCTAGAAATGTTACCTCAAGTCGACGTCAAGCCCGTGCAACCAATAAGTTCAATTTGCGACGCGAGTATCTGTCTTACTAAAGCAGAAGTACGAAGTCTTTCAACGCTGCAACGAAGCCCAAACAATGCTATAACTAAGTGCAGACGTATTTAAGCACTCAGTTGTAGTATCGCATAAGAAAACTAACTGCGCATCGATTCATGGCCATAAAAACATATTTGGGAGAAAAACCTTAAATTGAATAGGAAGCAACTTAAAAGCATCCTGAGCTTTCGAAGGAGCGGCCTATACAAATTCACGGCGCAATCGCGACGAGCTATACGAAGATCTGGCCCCGAAGAAGCAGACAGACTGCGAATCAGCCACGATATTAAAGATCATGATCTTACATTTTTCGAATGCCGGCCTCAAAATTTAGGGGCGGAACAACGTCTAAAGCTGCGCGTTGACCGGCAAGAGCGAGGGCTGATGTACTAAGGAGGTGCAAACAGCAAATTCTGGATCCCGAAATTTGATCAAGTTTTATTTTCAAAAATTGCTGTATTTTGAAATGAGGTAAACTTATTCAACGACTTGCCACCGAACAAATCCTCTGCAGTTTAAAGATGGCAAGAAGAGTGTAAAGTCATGAAAGACAGCTCTCTGTGCTGATACGCAAGTGGTTTTAAAATATAGATCCCTTGATCATAGGATAGTCTCAAAAAAAGGTGCTTTAGGGGTGTAGAGATCGATAAGGTTGGCATCGAATACGCTCCAAGCTCAATGTCTGCATGGATGGAATAATCTTTGATGAGTGGATCCACAATTCAACCTTTGAATGCATGGTCGCGAAAAACTGCTTCTTCTTCATAACGAATTTTAGTCACAAAATCCGCCGAGAACTCAACAACGTCATTCTGGTCTTTTCCCGCCTACATGACTTACACCATCCAATTGCTTGATGCAGTTGCGCGTAAATATCATTAATTATATACGCGCAGCTACACAAATAGAATTATTATCATCTGGTTGTAAGACGCTCGCTAGAAATAACTTTGTATGAGATAGCATATGGATCTGATTTGAAGCAAACAAGAAACGCACTTGCAAGGTCAAATAATCCATTTAGTTTGCAGCTGAGAGCTATAACACTATTGGTGAGTTATTCATTCGGGGTTTCTGGGTCAAGAGTGTTATTATTGAAGCGCCACTGATTGCGAATTTGCGTGCACAAATGAGTTTCGAAAGTCCATCCTTGCCTTCCAACAAGACTGCTAAAATCTTGCTGATTTAATTTAATTTAGGAATAAGTGTTAGCGTGTACATTCATGTTGTGATCAAGGACTACAAGTAGTTTCATGGATAACAAGAGGGCTCATAAATAAGAAGAATCGGAACTCGCAAAACTGAAAATGATAAAGATCAAGCGATTGTCAGTGCGAATTAAGCACGTAAGCGCTACCTGCTTTTTTGTTTTACTTTGTACGCTCATTTAAAGACACGCGCATCGTTCCGTCAGATCTGAATAAGGTTTCTTCATGTATTCGTAAGAACCAGCACGCTGGAGCAAAAAGATCGATATGAGAGACCTCATATAGTAAACAATCGTTTCATATCAATACGCGTAGGAACAAATTCTTTAGCCTTTTTAAAATGCCCCGATATTCGATGTTTTTTTCTCTATAGATTCATTCAATTAATTTCTCACAAAATCGCTACAATAGACTTTTGTAGAACACGTTGCAGAAATTGGGCGTAAATATGTCCCTTTTATACAAGGGTGAGTGAATTCGGTAAGGAAGCTTGGTTTAAAGGTCAAAAAAAAAGAAGTGAAATTTGTTATCACTAAAAATCAGTAATTTTTTCTATTCCCCTTTTGATCAGTTTCAGACACGTGTCTTCCTAAGACACCTGTGGTCGTAAGTGACCATAGTCTGCCTCAAGACTAAGTACTCTTGGGCGTTGGTGCCA